AGATATTCACACTCATTTGAACAGTATAATGTTGGTGTGACTAGATATAAACATTCATTTGAACAGTATAATGTTGGTGTGACTAGATATTCACACTCATTTGAACAGTATAATGTTGGTGTGACTAGATATACACACTTATTTGAACAGTATAATGTTGGTCACACTAGATATTCAAATTCATTTGAACAGTATAATGTTGGTGTGACTAGATATTCACACTCATTTAAACAGTATAATGTTAACCTAACTAGATATTCACACTCATTTGAACAGTATAATGTTGGTGTGACTAGATATTCACACTCATTTAAACAGTATAATGTTAACCTAACTAGATATTCACACTCATTTGAACAGTATAATGTTGGTGTAACTAGATATTCACACTCATTTGAACAGTATAATGTTGGTCTGACTAGATATTCACACTCATTTAAACAGTATAATGTTAACCTAACTAGATATTCACACTCATTTGAACAGTATAATGTTGGTGTGACTAGATATTCAAACTCATTTGAACAGTATAATGATGGTGTGACTAGATATACAAACTCATTTGAACAGTATAATGTTGGTGTGACTAGATATACACACTCATTTGAACAGTATAATGTTGGTGTGACTAGATATACACACTCATTTGAACAGTATAATGTTGGTGTCACTAGATACTCACACTCATTTGAACAGTATAATGTTGGTATGACTAGATATTCACACTCATTTAACACTCATTTGAACAGTATAATGTTGGTGTGACTAGATATTCACACTCATTTGAACAGTATAATGTTGGTCTGACTAGATATTCACACTCATTTGAACAGTATAATGTTGTTCCGACTAGATATTCACAGTCATTTGAACAGTATAATGTTGTTCCGACTAGATATTCACACTCATTTGAACAGTATAATGTTGGTGTGACTAGATATTCACTTTTATTTGAACAGTATCATGTAGTCACCTACCATCACCTCAAATTCACAACGTCACCATCACCTCAACATCACAACGTCACCATCACCTCAACATCACAACGTCACCATCACCTCAACACCACAACGTCAACTCAATATCACAACGTCACCATCACCTCAACATTACAACGTCATCATCACCTCAACATCACAATGTCACCTCAACATCACAACGTCATCATCACCTCAACATCACAACGTCAACTCAACATCACAACGTCACCATCACCTTAACATCACAATGTCACCTCAACATCACAACGTCACCATCACCTCAACATCACAACGTCACCATCACCTCAACATCACAACGTCAACTCAACATCACAACGTCAGCATCACCTCAACATCACAACGTCACCATCACCTTAACATCACAATGTCACCTCAACATCACAACGTCACCATCACCGCAACATCACAACGTCACCATCACCTATACATCACAACGTCACCATCACCTCAACATCACAACGTCAACTCAACATGACAACGTCATCATCACCGCAACATCACAACGTCATCATCACCGCAACATCACAACGTCAGCATCACCTCAACATCACAACATCACCATTACCTCAACATCACAACGTCACCATTACCCCAACATCACAACGTCACCATCACCTCAAAATCACAACGTCAACTCAACATCACAACGTCAGCATCACCTCAACATCACAACGTCACCATCACCTCAACATCACAACGTCACCATCACCTCAACATCACAACGTCACCATCACCTCAACATCACAACGTCAACTCAACATCACAACGTCACCATCACCTCAACATCACAACGTCAGCATCACCTCAACATCACAACGTCACCATCATATCAACATCACAACGTCACCATCACCTCAACATCACAACGTCACCATCACCTCAACATCACAACGTCAACTCAACATCACAACGTCAGCATCACCTCAACATCACAACGTCACCATCACCTCAAAATCACAACGTCAACTCAACATCACAACGTCACCATCACCTCAACATCACAACGTCACCATCACCTCAACATCACAACGTCACCATCACCTCAACATCACAACGTCACCATCATATCAACATCATAACGTCACCATCACCTCAACATCACAACGTCAACTCAACATCACAACGTCAGCATCACCTCAACATCACAACGTCACCATCACCTATACATCACAACGTCACTATCACCTCAACATCACAACGTCAACTCAACATCACAACGTCACCATCACCTCAACATCACATCGTCACCATCACCTCAACATCACAACGTCACCATCACCTCAACATCACAACGTCACCATCACCTCAACATCACAACGTCACCATCACCTCAACATCACAACGTCAGCATCACCTCAACATCACAACGTCACCATCACCTCAACATCACAACGTCACCATCACCTCAACATCACAACGTCAGCATCATATCAACATCACAACGTCAGCATCACCTCAACATCACAACGTCACCATCACCTCAACATCACAACGTCAGCATCATCTCAACATCACAACGTCACCATCATATCAACATCACAACGTCACCATCACCTCAACATCACAACGTCACCATCACCTCAACATCACAACGTCAACTCAACATCACAACGTCAGCATCACCTCAACATCACAACGTCACCATCACCTCAACATCACAACGTCACCATCACCTCAACATCACAACGTCACCATCACCTCAACATCACAACGTCACCATCATATCAACATCACAACGTCACCATCACCTCAACATCACAACGTCAACTCAACATCACAACGTCAGCATCACCTCAACATCACAACGTCACCATCACCTCAACATCACAACGTCACTATCACCTCAACATCACAACGACAACTAAACATCACAACGTCAGCATCACCTCAACATCACAACGTCACCATCACCTCAACATCACAACGTCAACTCAACATCACAACGTCACCATCACCTCAACATCACAACGTCAACTCAACATCACAACGTCACCATCACCTCAACATCACAACGTCACCATCACCTCAACATCACAACGACAACTAAACATCACAACGTCAGCATCACCTCAACATCACAACGTCACCATGACCTCAACATCACAACGTCAACTCAACATCACAACGTCACCATCACCTCAACATCACAACGTCACCATCACCTCAACATCACATCGTCACCATCACCTCAACATCACAACGTCACCATCACCTCAACATCACAACGTCACCATCACCTCAACATCACAACGTGAACATCACATCAACATCACAACGTCAGCATCACCTCAACATCACAACGTCACCATCATATCAACATCACAACGTGAACATCACATCAACATCACAACGTCAGCATCACCTCAACATTACAACGTCACCATCACATCACAACGTCACCATCATATCAACATCACAACGTGAACATCACATCAACATCACAACGTCAGCATCACCTCAACATCACAACGTCACCATCACCTCAACATCACAACGTGAACATCACATCAACATCACAACGTCAGCATCACCTCAACATCACAACGTCACCATCACATTACAACGTCAACTCAACATCACAACATCACTTCAACATTACACAGTCAGTATTCTATTTCCTTCTCAATTTGGCCATTTATTTTATCTGCTCCGCTATTCTGTGATATGAAGATGGGCGTGTTTGGTGCTCCTTAGGGTTAAAATGTATACATGAGGGCATTTAATCCGGTTTTTTTTTTATTTCACTTTCACTGATGAAGTGAGCGGCCTCTGACAATTATCTTGAAATGCACACATATATATATCACATCAAGCTGGACACTTACGTACATAACATTTATATACTGCGGACTACAGACAATGTGGTAACATCGATACAATTAACGTCACGCGAACACCCTTATTACCCTAAATGATGATACCATTGTAGCCTTGTCCTCATTTGGGAATGTGACATATAAGATGTACATGGTTTGTAGCGTCGATGCAAAAGAAGGCGCTGAACGTTACAGAACACCGGAAGTTATTTCATTTTTTCAAGTTTCCGTGTAAATCCTTACTTTATTAATATTTTGTCCCAATATCATCGAATTTTAGTTTGAATTAAGAGGATGTTGGCACGTCAGTATTTTCTTTTTTTGTTTTTGTTAATATTCGTTCAGGCTCAATCAATTTTTGATATTGAATAGTTCTTGAATGACTATATACAGCTCATGATTCGTCTTTTCAAATGTTTATTTGTAAATAAACGTATCTGAATACGAAAGGAATAAATCACGTTTCATCAAAATTGAAAATTTCACGAAGATCATGAACGATACTACCACACTGCAATAAGAGGTCCTGACAGTAGACCTTGCCATTTAACCGCTTACAATATTAAAAATCAAATCCTTGTAAAACAGATGACTATAAAACAGATTTTCAAACCCAGAATCATTTTGGAATACTGTATTTACGAACGCATTCACGTCATGACTTTAGTTCAATCAATGTGCAATTATTTGAAAATATATACTATTGTTAATGGCATAAGCGGCGTTTGTGGATACCAGATTCGACGGCAATGATTTCCGTGAGTATTTTCATTGTATTTTGGTGTCGAAAGAAAAGCTTGGTAAATATGATATCACAATGTTGGAAAAACAGTCTTTCGTTGTTCTTTCCTAACCTGTAAAGGTCATTCTAAGCCCTATCGCTTGACATAGTGAAACGAAGGGCAGTACATTCTGGAGATCACAATTGGTAAATAGCTTAGCTTAGTATAGCTTAGTAGTTACTGAACGGAGACCTTATGTCTCTATGTTCAGATCCGAAACCTTGTCACAATCCATTGGTTTAGTGTTGTCACTTCTGGTTGGAATAAAGATGTTATATGTTCTATCTACACTTTTCCAACTTTTATCAAGTCTGTTTTCAAATGAGTTCAAAGTTGGCGCCTGTACGATATCTACTGGTAGAGAGTTCCAATCATTTACACCCTGTGAGAGAAAGAAAACTTCCTGAGATCCAGACGTGATCTAGCTTTTTCCAGGCTGTAAGAATTCCCCCTTGTTCTTTTGTTCTGAACTCTGCTGATTAAAGTAACAGATCCTTCGTTGTCATACAAACTCTCAAGATCTTGAAAAGGTAGGCAATGTGGAAGGATAAACATGTACGTTCAGTTATTATAATATGCTACATTTCTGTCACATGCAGCTGACATGCACAGGAGTTTAGACTATCATAGAAATAGGATGTATTTATAAAGACACGTGCAAACATATGCCATTTTAGTAGTATAATAGCTGTTTCATATATAAAATGCCCTGTACCTGTGGTTAAAGCCATGCTGAATTGTTGATAATATCCCTCAGTGACATGACTTTAACCCAACTTTTGGGATAGTGTGAAACTCCTGTCAGAGTTTAGCTTGGCATATTTAGAAATATTGGTTACTTTGGTCTGATAGAAATCCTTTTTAAGGTCTTCACGCTGAAAGATAACCATATACATTTAGTACTGAATTATGCGATTGAAGCAAAAAAATACATGACAAGACTAGTACTGATGCGACATCTTCTGATCTGGGAACTCTAGACAGACATGGTCTATCAATATTATATATGTACCTGGATTTTAGAGACAGAAATTTTCTGTTCAGTACCTGTCCCCACTAGGGTTCAAACTGGCAATGCCCTCAATCCTAACACTCTACCAAGGACATAGACATGCATACTCTGATGAATCAAAGATGCCACATCATTTTATTATCTTTTTAGTTCAGTGGTGATCAGGTGGAAGTTAAATTCAATTTATTGCAATCATGATGAATATTCCTGGGATGGAAAGTACTGTTACTTATTAATACTGAAATAAAAATTGATGCAAGTTTTAGGCCTTCTTCAGTCGATTCTGAAATTATTGATTGTAACAATACATCTGTTAAAAGTTGCACAACGATCACATTTAGAATCTGTCAGAAAGACATACATAGATTTAATTGTCAACTTTTGTTGTAGATGTGGTTTAATCCTGGAAAACTTCTAGTTAGGACTCATACAGATAGTAATCCTTACTGTAAATAAGGCTCCTCTTGTTTATACAAGGTTTATGTATTTACTGTATAAAGGATGATTAAATATACAACGTCTTTGTGACCTAGCAGGCTTTACTTCACAACCCTCAGCTACTGGCCGATGGCTAGCAGTTTGAAAAGTAAAGATGAATTTGTGATGTATTATAAATGCAATTATGGATTCATTCTAGTCTGGCAATGTCTCCATCTGCTGCTCGACTGTGGGTTAATATAAATCTGTAGAATTTTGGAGTAGTTTCTGATAATACATCTTATTTAAATTGTCCATAATAAGTATACATTTGTATGTTATAGACTAAGAATCAAATCTATGGTTTATAACTGTTTTGTGTATTTTATAATTATATTTTTCAGTGAAATGACTTAAAATCACAAATATATCTGACAATGTCACTTCGAACTCCAACCACCATGCATTTTACTCTGTTGAGTAAAAATGTTCTGTCACCAGAGGAACAGGAGCTGTATGAACTAGCAGATCTGGCAGGTGTTGTTGTAGATCCATCAGTCTTCAAGTACGTAAAATATTGAACCATATGCACATATACACTGAAGTGGTCCCTCAGTATGCAAATATTATAAAACAACAAAAAGTTAAGACTGGTCACAAGGCCTTCCTTCTTTACCTGCCTTCTTCAGCTTCTTTACACCTGAAGATGCCAACAAAAGCAGGTCTTGGAAAGTCTTTGTGGTTTTGGTTATTTACTCATTTTTTCTCCATTTCAATTTTATCTACCAGGGCTCTCGATCTGCCAGATTTGGGGATGATGTTCGACCCCATTCCAAATGCAAAATAGTATCATTTTTTCCCAATTTAGACCCCAAGTTTTCCCAATTCTAAGGAAAACCATTATTTTTCCCAATTCTAAGGGCCCCGGGCCCCAGTCCCAAAATGGGGTGTTAGAGCCCTGTCTACATTGAATATCATTTATATTTTATCTTATTAATTTATTATATTTCACATGACTGAACATCAATACTGTCTACGTGAAATAAATAGCAGAATACCTGGTATAACTTTGATATTCATAAGTGTAAAAACACACAAGTCATTTCAAAGCAGTTCTGTAATCAGTCCTACAAATGAAATATATTCAGCAATTTTGAAAAAGAAGTCCTAAAGCATTGAATGTATAGTTGATGTGATACACAAATGATAATGCAATATTCAACATTTTAAATTATACTGCACTTGAAAACCAACTTAGTATAAGGTGTACATGCTATTTAATAAGATTTGTCGACAATATGCCAGTCTGAGTATGAACAGTATAAAAATTCCTGAATACAAATTCAGATATTTTTCCATAGACCAAAGTGAAAGTAACACGATGAGAGATGAGGATAAAAACTTCACATACCCTGTCCATTCTGTATGATATGCACAAAACTTAAATGGTTACGTTGTTAGTTCTACATGTCATTGCCATTTCTGTATTTACATTTCTCATTTTACAATCTGTAATCTGAAAGGTTTTATGATTATCTGTCTCAGAATCGTCCTTGACCTCCTTAAGATGAATGTGGCCCCAACAGCCGTGCTGCAGATGCTGAAGTCAATGTGTGGTCAGAGACGGAAGAAAGCTCAAACTGTAGGGGGTGATCATTCAGCTCCAGATCCATCCTCACATCTCCCTGCCCGTTCCCGGGACGAAGGAAAATCTCAACATTCTTCTCATCGTGTCCGGTCAGGAAGCCCAGATATGACTTCCAATATCCCAGCCCGGACCAGGGACGAGGGAAAATCTCTTCATTCTTCACATCGTGTCCGGTCAGGAAGTCATGGACGGACATCATCTCGGTCAGACCCCAGAAAATGATTCACACTACAATCCCTAGCCATTTACATTATTCTCAAGTAGGAGCGGAAGATATTGAAATCAGTGTAAAACTGGCTCATTTTAGGTGTATAAGATAGGTTTGTCTCCGCTACAGTCCTCTTCACTAGAAAGTCAAAGGAGTGACGTTTCTTGGCAATTTTGAGAAACAGAACCTCAAGTGTGAATGACTCCTTGAAAGTTGAACAAACTTCTGTTTTATGATGGCAAAGCTTTGAAGGTTTCTTTTGATTATATGAAAAAGGTTGCAAGATATTGATGAGAAAGTGTGAAACATGACTTTTGTCAGTGTATATTGGGAGCGACATATTGACACTGTAAATTTCATCAATCATTGTATTGAAAATATCAGACATGAAGATCTTTTCAATGTTAAGGGAATGTGATATACACATTGATATAAATGGATTTCATTTATTCATACAAGTCCAGAGTGGCTGTTTGAATATGTCGGTCTAATCATAAAAGTATTAAGGATGGAAATATGATCTGATATGTATGATTATACAGGTAAATATTTTAAATAAAGTTTTATATTTCACACTTTTGTTTCCTTCATTTAAAGAAATGTCAGTGCTGACACACCAAGGAAGAACGCTATCCTCTGGGGCCCAAATTTAGATTTAAATTTTGTATAGTGTATAATCTTCAATGGGTTTAAGACATGTACATGGAGATCAGAGATATACAATTCTAATCCCATTTTGGCCCACACTCTCTCAAGTCGTGGTGCTGTGACCAAGATCTGAACCTCCAAACTCCAGAGGGATTCATCCATCAAAGCTGTGTGGTCTCCTTTATTTGTGTAGCATTTAAATCATATAAGAAACTGTCAAACTGCATGAAAATCTGTCACACTTGTACAACCGGCTTAAATAAAATGTTAGGAGGGAAACATCTCTCGTTGATCAAATAAAATGTTAGGAGGGAAACATCTCTCCGTGATCAAATAAAATGTTAGGAGGGAAACATCTCTCCGTGATCAAATAAAATGTTAGGAGGGAAACATCTCTCCGTGATCAAATAAAATGTTAGGAGGGAAACATCTCTCCGTGATCAAATAAAATGTTACGAGGGAAACATTTCTCCGTTGATCAAATAAAATGTTAGGAGGGAAACATCTCTCCGTTGATCAAATAAAATGTTAGGAGGGAAACATCTCAGACTTTGACTATTAAACTGTTGTAAATGTAGAATTCCATGCATTTGTTTTCCCAAGGAAAGATAGAAATAGCAAACCAATATGACAGGCTAAATGATTTATATGAATTGCTTTATACTGAAAACTTAATAAATGCTTTAGTTTTTAATTTGTTTAAAAGATATTTTTAATTTCATGATGTTATGTTACGGAATTAACGTACAGCAAATAAAACCCAACCGCTAGGTTTACAATTCAACAGTTTAATAATAACAAATAAATTATATACAGTAAAATTACAAATTTTGTGATGGTGTACAGAGCTAGCTACTAACTATCAAAAGTCAGACCTTATCTTTCCGTGGAAGGCCTCCAAATCCAGAAGAATTCACAACAGATTGTCCAGGAAACAGGGTAACCGCAGAATAATCCAAGAATGGTTTCCTCACTTCGTATATATATAAGTGCAAGTCCACACTTTACAGACTGAAGTCTCAAAGTAAGCTCACTAAATACATCAAAAAGGCTGCTCAGACTCAGTTTCATCATGTTTATATACACTAAAGGTTTCTAGAAGGTTCTTTTCTAGATGATTCTAGACTAGCAGGTACCCAGCTTGTTTACATGTGTCTCTAGAAACTTCCAGAAACACACAGGTCTTTCTAATAACCGAGCTTTCTAGAAAAATCTGCCTAGCACTATTTACACATATTGTGACAAATAATTATAAACAGGTTTTTATGTAAACAATCAATATGATGCAATGCATGTAAACACAGCACATCTGAATTTAGATTAATACACAATATATATACATAACAATGATGACTTGTAAAGACATTAAAAATTATCTCTTAATGTCTTTTTGATGATAACAATCGTTAAGTTAAACAAAAATGTGGCTAGATTTCATTTCATAAAATTTACAAACACTGATAAAATTGGCAGACAGTTCCAAGGTGATCAATTACACGACTGGTGGAAATCCTTGTATGATATCTTGTTATGCAGTGACCAGTCACGTGACTGGTCAAATATTTTGTTATAAGCGAGATCTGTTGCTGGAATGAGATCGAGGTTCCCATCTGAAAAAAAAAGGACAAAAGTGTCACAAATCAACATGAGATTCATTATGTAAAACATTCATACTGGATCTTGATCAAACTTATTGATACTAACGTTAATGACTCATCCTACAGTCTGCTTCAAATATCAGAAAAGTTTGTTAAATCACATTTTTGTTTAAAAAAGTATCATCAAGGCTGTTGAATATCATCATATTAATCAGTCTGCGAAGCGTTCACATCACACAATGTCTGAGTGATGAAAGAATGTACAACATGTCCGATCCCATGATATATGTCCAGTCCAGTCCGTTAGGGAAAAATTTGCCAACACAGCAGAGCGATCATGTCATCTAATTGAAAGCTCATTGTTAATTTATGGAGAATTTACTTTATTTTTTTTTTTTTGTATACAACACCATGTTAATGTACCTTACTGAATGCTATATCTGTTCGTAGTACACAATCAAGGTCAAACCATCGGTAGACCACAAATCTATTATAATTTGTGCTGTTGTGTAGATAAATTACGTTCTACTTACTCAAACAGTTCCTGTGCACGTCTGTTTGCCTCAGATTGTTGGCTCTCTGCCTATATTGATACAATAACATGTCAAACACAACATTTATCACAGAAGTTTATTTATATATCAATTACACTGTGCTTGCTACTGCAGCTTTAAATAGAGTTAAGATTTGAGTGTGACGTTTCCATGACTACAGGGTCACCTTCATCAGACAAAAGACCGGTGTTGAGTCTGCTAGCACTGACATAAGTAGTGTATGAAATGGTAAGGACCGATATTGTTTGCTGTACTTTAATCAAATGTATACTAAGGTTGAAAATAGTGTGGCAAGATGTTAAACAGATTATTGACCAAAAAATACACAAAATGGTAGCAATGTACTGTTGTTGGCTACACTTTCTTTAACACTCGATCATAGATGTGGGAGAGATTCTTCCACTGCATGAAAACTTCACGAAGGCAGACAACACAAAGGACGCTTGACCGTTATCAGAAGAAAAACTTTTTTGTTTTTTAAGGGTTTCAAAATGACTTACTATAATAGCACTGTGGTAAAGTTGATGCAAATGTTTCAACAGATATATTTTCATCTGACCATCATACATGGTAATAAACCGTGCTTCATTTTTCTCTCTTTTATCTATTGTAGATCAGTACACAAAGCAACATCCCCAATACTCCAGGGTTATGATCACTATCACTCACCATACCCCTGGAACCATCCCCGATACTCCAGGGGTTACCATCACTATCACTCTCTGCACCGATGGAACCATCCCCGATACTCCAGGGGTTACTGTCACTATCGCTCTCTACATCCCTAGAACATTTTGTGGCATAATTGAAGGTTCTATGTGCGACAACTTGTGTACAAGACAAGAAAAAGTGTATCAAACCAATCATAAGGTCACAAGAAAGTATGTTGTACAGGCTTTGAAGTTGGGTGTTGCTCACTTCTGATCTTCAAAGGAGGGTATCAGTTTGACTGGTCACTTTTTTTCTCCTAAAACATGTTCTAGACAAATCAAATTTCTTACTTGGGCCATAAATTTTGCCATGAAATGTTCGAGGAGTGCAGAGAGCGAATGTGATTGTAATCCCTGGAGTATCGAGGATGGTTCCAGTGGTGCAGAGAGCAATAGTGATCATAATCCCTGGAGTATAGAAGATAGTTCCAGGGATACAGAGAGCAAAAGTGATGGTTACCATTGGAGTATAGAAGATGGTTCCAGGGATACAGAGAGTGAAAGTGATGGTTACCCTTGGAGTATAGAAGATGGTTCCAGGGATACAGAGAGCGAAAGTGATGGTTACCCTTGGAGTATAGAAGATGGTTCCAGGGGTACAGAGAGTGAAAGTGATGGTAACCCCCGGAGTATGGAAGATGGTTCCTGGGGTACAGAGAGTGTAAGTCATCGTAATCCCTGGAGTATCGAGGATGGTTCCAGGGGTGCAGAGAGCAATAGTGATCGTAATCCCTGGTGTATAGAAGATGGTTCCAGGGATACAGAGAGTGAAAGTGATGGTTACCCTTGGAGTATAGAAGATGGTTCCAGGGATACAGAGAGCGAAAGTGATGGTTACCATTGGAGTATAGAAGATGGTTCCAGGGATACAGAGAGTGAAAGTGATGGTAACCCCCGGAGTATGGAAGATGGTTCCTGAGGTACAGAGAGTGTAAGTCATCGTAATCCCTGGAGTATCGAGGATGGTTCCAGGGGTGCAGAGAGCAATAGTGATCGTAATCCCTGGTGTATAGAAGATGGTTCCAGGGATACAGAGAGTGAAAGTGATGGTTACCCTTGGAGTATAGAAGATGGTTCCAGGGGTACAGAGAGTGAAAGTGATGGTAACCCCTGGAGTATGGAAGATGGTTCCAGGGGTACAGAGAGTGAAAGTGATCGTAATCCCTGGAGTATGGAAGATGGTTCCAGGGGTATAGAGAGTGAAAGTGATCGTAATCCCTGGAGTATCGAGGATGGTTCCAGGGGTACAGAGAGTGAAAGTGATCGTAATCCCTGGAGTATGGAAGATGGTTCCAGGGGTATAGAGAGTGAAAGTGATCGTAATCCCTGGAGTATCGAGGATGGTTCCAGGGGTACAGAGAGCGAAAGTGATGGTAACCCCTGGAGTATCGAGGATGGTTCCAGGGGTATAGAGAGTGAAAGTGACTGTAATCCCTGGAGTATCGAGGATGGTTCCAGGGGTATAGAGAGTGAAAGTGATCGTAATCCCTGGAGTATCGAGGATGGTTCCAGGGGTGCAGAGAGTGAAAGTGATGGTAACCCCTGGAGTATCGAGGATGGTTCCAGGGGTACAGAGAGTGAAAGTGATCGTAATCCCTGGAGTATGGAAGATGGTTCCAGGGGTATAGAGAGTGAAAGTGATCGTAATCCCTGGAGTATCGAGGATGGTTCCAGGGGTACAGAGAGCGAAAGTGATGGTAACCCCTGGAGTATCGAGGATGGTTCCAGGGGTATAGAGAGTGAAAGTGACTGTAATCCCTGGAGTATCGAGGATGGTTCCAGGGGTATAGAGAGTGAAAGTGATCATAATCCCTGGAGTATCGAGGATGGTTCCAGGGGTGCAGAGAGTGAAAGTGATGGTAACCCCTGGAGTATCGAGGATGGTTCCAGGGGTGCAGAGAGTGAAAGTGATGGTAATCCCTGGAGTATGGAAGATGGTTCCAGGGGTACAGAGAGTGAAAGTGATCGTAATCCCTGGAGTATGTAGGATGGTTCCAGGGGTACAGAGAGTGAAAGTTAATGGGGTTGACTAATTTCATCAAGTGTATAAGATGAGGAAACCTACCTGCTGAGCTTCCCTAAACCACTCATCCAGTTCTTGACGCTGAGATGTTACATGTGGAATGAGACCACTTCCTCCAATGATCTTAGGAAGTCTGTCAAGGCTAGCAACACCAGCCTACAACGAAACAACCTCAGGAATGCAACAGCCGAACAGAGTCTGAATGATTCAACATTGATCTTATGACAATGCACTTTACATTTTCTATGGTTGGTGCTCCGATATGTAAAACATGATAAGGATAACCTCAGAATTTAAGAACTATTATTCGGTATGTCAAGGCCTGAATGCCCCCATCGTGGAGGCCTTGACCTTTGGCCCCTGAAACACAACAATGCCCAAAGTATACTCATACTTGATCTTCACAGAAAGTTTGACCAAATTCAATGAGAGACTGCAGTTGCTTTGTGTTTGAATTTAATCAGTTGATGATTTTCTACCTATAGCAAGGGTGACCTTGAACTTGGTCTCCTGAAACACAACAAAGTCCAAAGTATACTCCTAAAGGAACTTTGTAAAAAGTTTGACCAAAATCTGCCAAAGAATTAAATTGCTTGGTGCTTACACTGAATCAGGGTGAGACAGGGCAGGATGGACATGACCAACACTATAAGCCCCCACCCCCAGTCTGGAATAATCAATAAATACAGTAATGATTTAATCATTAGTTCATTCCATAATACCTTTTTGAACTTCTTGAAATTTTTTACTATGCAACCTTTCCAAGGTGAATATCCAGGAGGAACGTCTGTATTTGACCTTTGAGGAGATTTTTTAGTTTGAGAAGGTCGTCGAATCATTAAATCGACAAATACTGTCTGCACCAGGTCAGTTGGAATGCCTTCCTCCTTGACATAGTTGCTATGGTGATTGTACTCGTCCTGTAACAGAGAAACAATGCTCAAGTACTCTCAAGCAAAACAAATAATCATAGTGCCTGCTCTGTACCATTAAGTAATCAAAAGACATGGTTTAACAGAATATAAGAGATACTCTGTGAAAAAAGGGGAAGATTTGGCCTATCTTAAGAAATGGAGAAATTTTGGACAATCCATTTGGTCAGGAGGCAAAAGAGAGATAGGGTTAAAATATAACATACATGAAGAATAATTGAATAAAATATGACAACGCTGAGATTAGATTGATATTTCAATTTCTTGATAGCACAATTTGAAAATATTTACCAGTAAGTAAAGATATACTGATTAGCTCTGTTTCTGAGGAAAGTTTGCCTTTCTTGAGGATTCCGTTTTGTACTGAACTTGAAATAATAACATTAACCAAAAGACTGCTCCTCAGACAAAGAGTTCAGAACCTGTGATGAATTGCCTGCATTTTAGGACAGTCCATGTAAATGGACACACTGAAAAATTGAAAATGATGTTTACTGAAAGCTCATAACTCCAAAGTTTTGGAGATGAAACATAGATGGACATTCTGCAGAATATTCCTTTAATTTGTTTTCCTGGGTAGGTTTTGATATTCCTTGCTCTTTTATTGTTTCCATTCAAATTTTGATTCTTGCAGGAAATTAAGAAAAAACTGTTCCTAGTGTGACATATTAATGAAAACCCCAGACACACGTGTTATTCAATATTTGATGATACCTTGGCTTGTCCTCGTACTGCTGACAGAAATCCAGAAACAGATGGGAGTTCTCTCCTCTTCTACAAACAAATTATCATTATAAATTAGATATGAATAAGAAAATGGATCTCAGGAATTGTATGAAAAAAAAACTGTATTTCATGAAATTAACTTACAGATATAAACACAAATGACTCTTACATTAATTTAATCAATATGAACATCCATGACCTAAAAGAAAAAACATTTTCTTTAAATTTTATTTAATTTTTTTTAAAAAACAAATTCGGGTTAACACAAATCATATCAGAACTTTTTATAACCTGTACAGGATTATCCACACTTTAATGGTGAGATTTTCTTAATAGGTGTTCCCATGATTACCATGGATATTATAACACAATCTCACATGTGGTAAGGAGAGACAGCTGTCATGCCCAATCACCTTACTTACAATAATGTAACACAATTATTTTATGTAGCATAACCATGTCACCAATTGATGAAATGAAACTCCAAACACATTTCATGGGGCATTGTAGATGACAGAAAGGTTTCACAACAACAAATTCTTGCATTTTTTTTCAGTGTGTGAGAAAAATAATCCAGCATGGGCCTGCGTCATGAAAAGGGTTATCCAAACCCTTGTGTAAGAGCTTGGCGAGGTCAGTTCTCTGCAAGCCTGGTGCTAACCAGCCAAAGTCTTACTCTTATACTGAGATATTCCTGTCTGCAGGACAAAGAATTGAAGAACTATGTTTGACTTCATGTCAACAAAACAGTGGGATAACAACCCACATTAAAGGTGGTCATCAGAGAACAAATAAATTATTTACAACCATAATGGTGAGATGGAGGATCTCAACCTTCAGGGAAAGATAATTAGGTAGCAAACACTAGATAAGCCTAGTATTTGTCAACTTAAAATTCTTTCCCTTTGGGTTGTGATTTTGAGGAGGGGTTTGTGTATGAAACATTTTAATAATCTCTACTTAAATTTTATACATATGCTACGGAGAAATATCTAGTATAAAAATAATAGGACGAATTTGCCAGATCTTTAATGAAAGCCAGTATCATTGTATATATAAACACACTTTGAGATGTATATATTAAGGCTTACAATGCCACAAACAAGGTAAGCGTCATATCTGGTGAACATTCGTAACTTTTTATCTGGTCTGTAAAACTGACAAACAACATTTCCAGAATGATCAAAGCATATCTTATCTAATCACAAAGTAAAATCTCCATAACCTCCATCAGTCATAGCAACTTTATCAAGGGCATTACTGAGGATTACCATCATATAATTTCAAAATCACAAAACACATCTGAAGCATTTTAAGAAAAAAAATTTTTTTTTTAATACCGGTATATACCATTGAAATTATATCAATCAGGGATGAAAAGATTAAAACTTTTAAATGTGTTGAGTTCCTGGCAAAGTGGTCACTAATTCTTTCCTTTCAAATTCTCATTATCTAAATATTTCCTTTCAAAAACATAACAAAGTTACGTTTACCTCCTGCTTTTGTGTTGTGGTCTGTACTGTTTCCTGGTCCACAGTTCTGTCTACAGCAGTTTTGCGTGGAGTTATCCTCTCCTGCTTAGCATTCACTTCCTGTCTGCCTGTCTGCTCATGCTCTTGTTCCTCCATCCTTCTTTGACCTTGATGACCTCTAGTGGAAGCTAAGGGTGGGCTTATTCCTGGTTCTTGTTTGATTTTCCTTCTTGACTTTTGACCTTTATCCTCTTCATCTGATGAATCATCTAACTTCCTTTTTCTACAACCTAATTTTTGTGATTCACCTACTACTTCTACTATGCTTTTTGCCTGTTGACCTTTCTGACCTATTGGTGACCTACTTTTACCTTTACCTGCCCACCCTGATCCTGAATCAGAATCTGAATCAGACACCCTCACCTCCTGACACTTACCAGACAACAAAGTTTTACCTCTGTTGTCCTCCGTCTCAGAATCGGGGTCCAGTATGATAAAATCATCATCTCTTTCTTTCTTCAAACCTTTTTCAGAATTTGATGCCATCTTAACAGTGCTTTTACGACTTGTCCAATCAAATGGGTTGTCCTCATTACGGACCTCATCTGAATTGTCTCGCTGTTTTTTAGATTTTCTCGTAAAACCGTAATCCTCATCCGAATCGTCCTCAATAATCTGCTGTTTTCCAGGTCGAGACTTTGTCTTCTGAGCATTTTTCTCCTTTTTAATATCAACAATGTCTGTCTCATCATTTTTATCCATTCTTGGACTGGGTTTAACCCCTCTCTTTGTCAAAGGTCCTCTTGATGTTGAGGTATCTGTTACAACTTCAGGAACAGGAGATGACCTCAGATTTAACCTTCTTGAACCTGGAGATGCTGGTGACCTTGACCTTAGATTGAAAGATTCATCTTTATCAGGAACTGGAGACAGTGATTTTGACCTTGGACTTCTTCTGGTGGGCGAAGTTGCAGATTTGTCTGGTTTTCTTTTAGGAGGAGGTGATTGTGCTTGTTTTTGACCAGAATGTTGCGACCTGTCTATGTGTGAACTTTGACCTGAGGGTTTATAAGTCACATCTGTGTCTTTGTGTCCTTGACCTGGCACTTTTGTTCTTTGTGACTCTTTGCTTTTCACACTGAGAGTTACACAGGATGATTTTATTCCTGCAGGCTGTGTTGGAGATAGAGTTGTCTCCTCTTGTATCACTTTCCTGTTTCAATGAAACCGTATAAAATATCAACACGTTACAACATAACACAATTCATACATAAACTGACAAAAAAGTCAGCATAGGCAGAATGTTAAGCATCAAAGTATTGTAAACATGGTATTAACTTTTTGTAATCCAAGTGCATTCTGATATAGAGCACAATGACAGGCAACATACACAAACTGAAATAACAGTAACACACACCTGCTGTTTTTGAGGCATATTACCGTGATTGTGAAAATTGAATTTGCTGAAAATTAAGACGAGTAAATTTCATCCTTGATATAAAGTGCTATATCTCCAGCTGTTATCAAAAGAACAACAAACTCTGGAACAATCAACAGAAACATCATTTCACTTTCAATAGAATTTCCTTTCCTCAAAATACTTTCGAGTCTCCATAAAGGTTTTTGTCAACAACAGGAGAAATTGATGAGATTTTAACAAATTGAGGGTCAGTATTAATGGAGATCGATATTTTAATGTTAAATTAATGGAATTTTTATAAGAAAAGTTACAGCATTGATATACTGCTGTCTACTTACTGTGTCTGTGTAAATACTGGTGCCTGGGACAGAGACTGACTGGGGAGTCGTAAACCTCCCTGACTGGCTATAATACAGAAATATGTTATGTTATCAAACTGTGACCAGTTTAAGACAATTTCATCGTCATGGAAATCAGTCAGAACTACATATGTCATGAGCAATCACCATCATTTGTCAAACATTTAATTAAATCATTATATCTGTTATCAACTTCCACCATCTATATAACATTAACTGGCACGACCCAAGAGACTGGTAGCATACAGCTCATCGAAGACTGCACAGGGACTTGTAACACACAACTTATCAAAATCTGTACAGGGACTTGTAACACACAATTTATCAAAATCTGCACAGGGCCTTGTAACACACAGCTTATTAAAGTCTGCACAGGGACTTGTAACACAATTGATCAAAATCTGCACAGGGACTTGTAACACACAGCTTATTAAAGTCTGCACAGGGACTTGTAACACAATTGATCAAAATCTGCACAGGGCCTTGTAACACACAACTTATCAAAATCTACACAGGGACTTGTAACACACAGCTTATTTAAGTCTGCACAGGGACTTGTAACACAATTGATCAAAATCTGCACAGGGACTTGTAACACACAACTTAACAAATTCTGCACAGGGACTTGTAACATAGACCTTAATAAATTCTACACTGGGTTTAGTAACATACAGCTTGTGACATACAGCTTGTCAAAATCTACATAGGGGTTTGTGACACATAACTTCAATTACCAAAGTCTACACAGGGGTTTGTGACACACAACTTCAATTACCAAAATCTACACAGGGGTTTGTGACACACAACTTCAATTACCAAAGTCTACACAGGGATTACAGTATTGGTCTGTATCACAGTGTAAAACTGCCAATCCCAGCTCTGCGTCTTGACTCATGTGTTGTTTGTGTCTGAAATGAAGAATGTCCTCAATCATCAGTTGATATACATATTTTGTTGGGAGTTCAAATACATTGATGTTAAAATAGAATGTTTACAAGAAATCATTGAAAAGATAAAAGAAGACAAAAAAACAAAACAAGAAAAAGAAATAACCCAAACAACTGATAGCAATCACTGGAAATTTCAGGTAAAGGTCACAGTGACTTCATAAGTGAACAGTGCATGAATACTAGGACCAGGGAGGTGAACATTACATAACATGTCATATGGTTTAAAAACGAGGACCTTTCCAATAAAAATCACTACATACCTAGCAAGTGTCTTTTCCACATATCTGTACCATTCTTTCCACTCGCTTGCTGCACCAACATCAAGGCCACAATTCATTACAACTGTGTTTTTATGTGTGAGGATGGCCTGATCACTCCGTTCTTTAGGGCGAGTTTCCATCAACAATGGCATTCCTCCCCCAAGTTCAACTGCTAGACTCATCTTCTGGAACTAAAGTAAAAACACATACCAGTAATATTCCCTATTTTAATGACTTAACACCAATATAGGATATCACCGACTGGATATCAGTTCTGATGATATGACAATGGCGAATTGATATGACAATGGCGAATTGATATGACAATGGTGACTTAATGTGACAATGGCGAATTGATATGACAATGGTGACTTAATGTGACAATGGTGACTTGATGTGACAATGGTGACTTGATGTGACAATGGCGACTTGATGTGACAATGGTGACGATAATGTTGACTTGATATGACAATGGTGACTTGATATAACAATGGTGACTTGATGTGACAATGGTGACTTGATATAACAATGGTGACTTGATGTGACAATGGTGACTTGATGTGACAACACTGAATATATATACCACAATAATGACTTAATAATGATACAAACTTGAGATATGACAATATTGACCAAATAAGGAATTTATTACATCAGTCCTGGATAAACCCAAAGCATTTTTTAAAACATATAAGGAACTGTTTAAGGTGAAGATATCTTCATCAAGAAATCAGTCTTATCAGGCAAGACAAACATCGAAATGCTTCCTAATTACATCTTTTAACATGGAAGGTTTTTAATATAACAATGAAGTTAATAGAAAATCTACAGAATCTGGGAATTGTTTCAACAAAACTAGTAGGATGGAAATTTTTACAATGTCAGAACTATTTTCAATTGTTTCTACAGGAAATATTGATCAATTGATTGATAATGAAGACAATGGCTTTATTATTCAGAGTAAAAAGATCCTTTAAATAATTATACCATAGGCAAGAAGAACTCACCCCGCTCATACAATACCTGTTTTTGTTGAAGAAATATGAAAGTTTTTCCCTCGAAAATTTTCTTGCGCTCTGTATTATTGGTGAAGCTCACCTCCGTAGGATCTATCTGAGATTCTGACACTGTAGGAAGGTAGCTATGGTAACCAAAATAAACATCATTGATAACTACGTCAATCCTGTTTCATAATCACTCCTGGTACCTATAGCTATGTTAGCATTTGGAGATGGTTACAAAAATGTGCCTCCCTGTTCTGTGGATAATTAAGACTAAAAGACTACATGAGTACAAAAACTGTTATAACAGGTATTTCTGGTAGGAGAAGAAAAGTTTTATAAATATTGCATATACACAGGTATTGGAAAATTCCGGTAAACCTGTATACAAATGCTCAAGTTCAAAATTTTTAGTTTTTTTTTTTTCATTTCCAGAGACGGAAAGGCTACATTATTGTACATACATGTAAAACTAAAAAGATGTGGTGCTGCTTAAAGAGAGCATCTAAAGAATGTGTAGACAGATCTTAAACATCTAAGCATTGTAAAGGAGATGGAAGACCTGTCTGATATAAGATATTGATAAAAACTTGATGAAATGATTGACTGACAGATGAGAAGCCAGTATCCGAGTGACAGGGAAAGATTAATCCTTTGAGGCCCTATATACCGGTATGCATAAGGCTGATGGTTTTTTCAAATTTTGTAATCTGGATGTGGCGACCCCGAGAGTTTCCCCAATATGTTTATGGATAATATGGACGAAACACCTGTTTGGCAGTTATATCGACGTTAATTGTGTAGGAATGTAAATAGACGTGTGTTTTTCACTTTTGGGATGTAATTGTTCTTTGGATTTTCCTGCATGGATATTTGGCACAAGGTATTCTTTGTGATCTTAGTTGGAGAAAATCAATGAGAAAAGATGGTAGGGGGCGTTTATTAGAGATGGGGTGTTTATTAGAATAAATACAGTATTTATACTTTCATCATTTGCTTTCCTAAAGAGAGAATCAGCTGTTAAAGTATGACCTAAACAATTATGATTTTAATAATTAATTATTTTTTCTACTAAATACCACTCAGGAATATAATTAAAATGAAAATATGCATAAAAATAGGGAAGCTATATTTTACAAGTAGTTTATATAACTTACCTCTCAGGATCCGGCTGTTCTTTACCACTTTCTAGTGACTGCAGGTAAGCAGCTAGATAGTCAGGGGAGACAATCGGTTTTAGGGACACCATTGCACACACCACCTATAAATAAAATCATTACAAAATTCTTATGTTTTTTACAATTTTTGTCCTCGCTGTACATAAAAGATATTGATATTCTTACATATCAATATTCAACCTTATTGAAAAAGTTTTTAATTCAATATATATTATACATTAGAATAAAAATTAATGCTAATTTTTCATCTGACCTGACTTTATCTACATGTATGACTTCAACTAGTATTTATTTTTAAAAAATAAAATATTTTTCATTTTGTGTTAACTTTTATCTCTGTATAACATACGTGTAAATATCAAATTATTTCTTTTATTAGGAGAAGTCTTTAAAAACTACTAACAATTATATCATTGAATAGCTCCTAATATTTCATTCTCTCTTTAAATATATCTTATGATATCATTTTTCTTAGCTTATTGAAAACTACTTATTGCATATTAATTTGCTTTAACATATTAACAAACCCTTTTAAAATACCTTAGAAATGGCAGTGTAAGGTTACACTCTACCTTTATTGTTACACTGATAGACGTCATAACAAGCAATGTGCAATGACGTGACCATTCTGCTACAATATGACCACCCAATTTCATTACAGACTGTTGGACCTGCTTCTTTAAGGTTGGACTGAGACAGGAAGTAGAAACAACCAGTGGTTCATACACAGCTCTGGTAAAGAGATAAAAATCAAGAAACTAAGTATATATTACACCAGATTGTTGACTCATGATATTCAGTGATAAAAACCAGTTGTAGATAACAAATACTTGGTCATGGCCCTTTAAATACAAGGATGAGGGTTTTAAAGGGACAATTAAGTAAAAAGGACTTTTCTCCAATTCTATTGTACAGTTTTAAGATCTCCTAGATGATATTCCTTATGATGATTTTTACTTTATTAACAAAAAAAAAAAAAATGAAATAGGATTTGATTCCAGTATTATTCTAGAATTCAGCAGGTTGAGACAATAATTTCAAAAATTTTAATTAATATGTATTTGATATCCAAAACTATGGTAGAGTTTCAGAGTTCCAATGTAAGGTTACTGAATGTCACAATCTTACATACTCACATGAAGACAGACTTTGGTGACCCAAACATGACCTCGTCTCCATCCTTGACAGTTGTCTGACCTTGAACTTTGCTAGTATTAACCATTGTGCCATATTTGGAGAGATCCTTGATGGTTAGTGTGGGCAACAGTGTGGGTTTATTCTAGAAAAAAATTGTTGTCTCAATTCACATAGAAGATATTTTTGTAACAAGTAAAAAACAACCAGATTCTCAATACATGAGATCCCAGAGGGATCTTGGCGCCCACCATTGTTTGATCTTTATTTGTTCTTTGAAATTTGGATTTTTCCCTTCTTTTCTCTGATAAGAAATTTGAACAATCCTATGCAGAAATTGGGATGATAATCTTTAATTGCAAAATCCAAAATGGCTGTCTGGAGGCTATTTTTTTTATTTCTTCTGATCAGTCCCAAAATCAATTGAGCACAAGGAGAGACCAAAGGGAACACACATAAGAAATTTGAGAGATAGCCGCTTGTGGGCCATTCTATATCTTCTAATCAGAACCAAAATCAAACAGGCACAACTAGGGACCAAGAGGAACCTACATAAGAAATTCAATAAAAATCCATCCAGTACTTCTTTGAAAAAATCCAAGCTGGCAACCTGGCGACCATTTTGCTGTTCTGATCAATCCCATAATTATAATTATAATTTGAGAAAGATCTATACAGTAGTTCTAAAAAAAATAGCGATATCAAATTTTCAAAATCAAAATCCAAGATGGCTGTCTGTCGGCCATTTTAGTTTTACTGATCATACCCAAAATTAAACAGGCATAACTAGGGACCACCAGGAACCTACATATGGAAATTCTGAAAGATCCATCCAATACATTTCAGGAAATAGCGAAAACAAACTTCATTGAAAAAATCCAAGATGGCCTGTTGGCCATTTTGTTCATTTGATCAGTCCCAAAATCAAACCGGCACAACTAGGTACCATGGGGAACCTACATGTACAATTTGAAAAAGATCCATCCAATATTCCTCAAGAAATAGCCATAACAAAAATTGTTTACAGAAGGCCAGACGACGAACGATTTGAATAGGTGTCCATCTGATGACTGTGGGCTGATAAAAAAAACCTAAATGGATGACCAAACCAAACAAGTTTAAAAAGTAGATTCTAACCCATGTTTCCTTTCTCTCTCACATCAGGTGTAGACATTTTGAAAAACAAATGTCTGGTTTATTTGTAGCCATCCTAGATAATCCAAGGATTACAATTACTTTCACTCCTTCCGTCCCTGCAATATTTCAAGGCAAAGTTTAAAAGCACAAGAGAAGAAATATCATTAATATGTTGAGGTGTTGGTCTGTTGACAAATAAATCTTTTGAAACATTTTGTGTTATATAAGGAGCTAGAGAAAACTCATGGTGAAGTATCCTGCTCAAATGGTATACTACATGTACCGATCAATTCAAGGTTCTTTCATACCAGTTTGGAATACTGCCACCTTGCAGAAAAATTAGTTTTTCTGGGCAAAATTGAAAAATTGGGGTTAACATAAGGGAACAAACAATGTTGCATTTCATATTCTCTCATAAAAAATAAGATTTAATTGAACTTTTCAGTGATTCTTCTGACTAAAGTGGGAAAAATTATCAGCATTCACAACTGGTAATGGGGCCTAAATGCGACTTCAAATATGCATTAGTATACATAAAGATACAAAAAATACTGAACATGCACTGAAACTAGATTTAATTTGACAAACCAGTAAGATAATAAATCTAGATTTAGTTAAATCTAGTTACATATTACCATATCTAACTAGATTAAACTCATTTTTTAATGTTTCAGGAGAATGATTTTTTCTGATGTTACCAGATTAGTATCAGGATGAGTCACTGTCAGCTCGGCATGTTTACGACTGACAGCAGCATCATTCTCCACAAGGATTTCACAGTCTTTTCGGCCAACAATGTAACTCTTTCCAACCAACAATACATGACGCACATCTAGAAGAAAGTGATTGGCATGATCAGAAAGCGTCTGACAAAGATTTTAAAAAATACCTTTAAGATACTTCACCAAGTATGTCTATATGTATGTCTGTAAATATATTTATTATCTATATAAGTATAACTGGTATATGAGAACAAATGTGTATTGGAAAAAATACATCAAAGAGTTTAAAGAAAAAAAAACTTTGTAAAGAGAGTATGTGCTGGACTTCCAACAAGGCCTGCATAGTCCTGCATTTAAGTAGTAGTCCTACATTTGAGTAGTAGTTCTACATTTAAGTAGTAGTCCTACATTTGAGTAGTAGTCCTACATTTGAGTAGTAGTCCTACATTTGAGTAGTAGTCCTACATTTGAGTAGTAGTCCTACATTTAAGTAGTAGTCCTGCATTTGAGTAGTAGTCCTGCATTTAAGTAGTAGTCCTACATTTAAGTAGTAGTCCTACATTTGAGTAGTAGTCCTACATTTAAGTAGTAGTCCTACATTTAAGTAGTAGTCCTACATTTGACAGTTGCGGCTCTGAGTTATCTATTAAGTATTCAATTGCAGGATCATTTGAAATAGCGTCACATATAAAGTTCTTCAAAACTTTTTCAACATATCGTGATCAACTTGTCAAACTTTACTACCACAGACTGCGATCTGTAGCAAAGGTCATCATGTAAACAAGACCTTTGATATCGGAAGCTGACATGTCGACTGTGTCTGTCAAAACTTTAATCAGCAGGTAATATAAACGGGAAAAAGTTAAACACCCTTCAGTATATAGAAGATGCAAGGAGCTATACTGCTTGACTAAAGCAAATTCCCACTAGCCGAGGCTATAGTACATTTCTGTATTTAACTATAGTATATGTATTAAATATAGTATATAGAATCAGTGGTGCAAGCAAAAACTATTATAAGTTTTGAAGCAAGACTGGATAAATTTTGGAAATACCAGGAAGTAAAATATAACCACAATTTGGATATAGACAACACCGGAAGATGTCACGTGGTTAACATTACAAATGATGAAACTGATGAATTAGATGCGGACATAGTGGTCGAAGAGATCAGCGTCCATAGAAGATGCTAAGCCTAAGGTATGACTGCCTGTGCTCTGTCATCAGAAATGACTTTAAGTTGTCGTTTGTTTCCATGTCGACGATTAACACGCATTTTTAACACCAACCAAGTGTTGTTCCTACGTACTTTAGAATGAAACAGACAATTTTCCGTCGTACTTATCTACATACTTACCTGGATTGACGAGTGAAGTAAGAAACCACATTGCTAGTATTTACTTCCGGAAGTGGTTATACCCGCTAAAATCATGATCGATCGCTATCACCTAAACGCTTGAAGAAGCTGTGAGTGCATTTGAAATAAAATTTCTAGATATTGTCGTGGTGCGTCGGAGTTGGTATCGGTGATGTCATTTGAGTGTCTGTGATGGAACCAAATGATAAGATGCATTAGTGGATAGTCAACCTGCCATGACAACCACTTGTATCTGCCGGCGACCCCTGGCCATAGTTATATTTTTTTTGTACAGCAGCAAGTAAACAGGGACGTACATATATATTACTTGCATCGGGCCGCTTGTATCATACATTGTATTGTGTATTATGTACGTCCCTGAAGTAGACAAATGAGACGAGAAATCTCTGATAGACAATGTTCCTGGTCATCATGATGCAAATGATTCATTCAATTCAGATAAAATTTTAATTGGCTCCAGTTTGATTGTGCCATGTTATCAACAGCTAAGGTAGTGCTTGTGCGGAAATTAAACCGAACTTTATAGTGCTACCACACCGAATCATACTCTGCCGAGGACCCCAGCAGGACATCTCACCTTGTCACATATGTATTTCATTAATAGATGATGTGAATAGACATTGAGAGAAAAAAGTTTGAATGACTGAATTTCAAGTGTTTTGAGAGACATGGGTTTACAACCGTTTAGTGACATGGATAAAAACCGTTCTTGTGGTCTTGTCTTACGAGCGTGTAAGCACACACAGATTTAGAGAAAAAAAGTGGTTAATGACCATGATTTCCAAGCACTTCAATGAAAATAATTGGGAGGGCAGCGGGTAAGGTGAGGGTGGAGCAGCAATGTATCGAGAGGGCAGATGTTTAGGTGAGGGTGGAGCAGTAATGTATCGAGAGGGCAGATGTTTAGGTGAGGGTGGAGCAGCAATGTATCGAGAGGGCAGATGTTTAGGTGAGTGTGGAACAGCAATGCACGGAGACTGCAGCGGGTTAGGGGAGGGATGAACAGCAATGTACGGAGAGGGCAGCGGGTTAGAGGAGGGATGAACTGCAATATACGGAGAGGGCAGCGGGTTAGAGGAGGGATGAACTGCAATATACGGAGAGGGCAGCAGCGGTTTTAGGGGAGGGCGGAGTGGCAATATACGAGGACGACAGCATTTAATGAGAGGTTACCTGGGGCAACGATACATGGCATGTAATGTGATTGTTTGGAATACAGTTATCAGTTTTCGAGTACAGCAATATATGGAGACGAAGCAGTATAGTTAATAGACTTATCTTCCTGAAAAAAAAAGGGTCGTGAGTATGAACGAATGGGCAACATTGTACTATTTCTTATACTATTGAATTGGATGGAGGGGATGAGGGGATGAGAAAAAGTCCTATATATAATATTTTTCAAATGTTTTTTCTGATATCATCTCCTGACTTCAGAGAATTGTGTGAATATGAATTTACACTATACGGATAATCAGCTATCTCTGAATATTGTTCTCCATAAAACATGTCCACAACAAACGACATGCGAATGCACGGCTTTGGCTGGTTACATCGAAACTGAGTATTTGTCATCGGTATGTCAATTACGTGACAATCACGTGATATTACATTACACATGATTTTTTGTTTATGAAATTGAAACAAAGCAAAGGAAATCATTCCCTTAAGAGATCACGTGTCATCGAAAGATACTACATCGCTACGGTTAGATATCTGTCTATAATCATATTGAAATCTACCTTTGAGACCACATGTCTATAACGACATTCATATCTACATTAGAGACCACCTGTCTATAACGACATTCATATCTACATTAGAGACCACCTGTCTATAACGACATTCATATCTACATTAGAGACCACCTGTCTATAACGACATTCATACCTACATTAGAGACCACCTGTCTATAACGACATTCATACCTACCTTAGAGACCACCTGTCTATAACGACATTCATATCTACATTAGAAACCACATGTCTATAACGACATTCATATCTACATTAAAGACCACATGTCTATAACGACATTCAAATCTACATTAGAGACCACCTGTCTATAACAACATTCATATCTACCTTAGAGACCACCTGTCTATAACGATATTCATATCTGCCTTAGAGACCACCTGTCTATAACGACATTCATATCTACATTAGAGACCACCTTTCTATAACGACATCCATATCTACATTAGAGACCACATGTCTATAACGACATTCATATTTACATTAGAGACCACCTGTCTATAACGACATTCATATCTACATTAGAGACCACCTGTCTATAATGACATTCAAATCTACATTAGAGACCACCTGTCTATAACGACATTCATACCTACCTTAGAGACCACCTGTCTATAACGACATTCATATATACATTAGAGACCACCTGTCTATAATGATATTCATACCTACCTTAGAGACCACCTGTCTATAACGACATTCATATCTACATTAGAGACCACATGTCTATAACGACATTCATATCTACATTAGAGACCACCTGTCTATAACGACATTCATATCTACATTAGAGACCACCTGTCTATAACGACATTCATATCTACATTAGAGACCACCTGTCTATAACGATATTCATATCTACCTTAGAGATCACCTGTCTATAACGACATTCATATCTACATTAGAGACCACCTGTCTATAACGACATTCATATCTACCTTAGAGACCACCTGTCTATAACGACATTCATATCTACATTAGAGACCACCTGTCTATAACGATATTCATATCTACCTTAGAGACCACCCGTCTATAACGATATTCATATCTACCTTAGAGACCACCTGTCTATAACGACATTCATATCTACACTAGAGACCACCTTTCTATAACGACATCCATATCTACATTAGAGACCACATGTCTACAACGACATTCATATCTACATTAGAGACCACCTGTCTATAACGACATTCATATCTACATTAGAGACCACCTGTCTATAACGATATTCATATCTACCTTAGAGATCACCTGTCTATAACGACATTCATATCTACATTAGAGACCACCTGTCTATAACGACATTCATATCTACCTTAGAGACCACCTGTCTAAAACGACATTCATACCTACATTAGAGACCACCTGTCTATAACGATATTCATATCTACCTTAGAGACCACCCGTCTATAACGATATTCATATCTACCTTAGAGACCACCTGTCTATAACGACATTCATATCTACATTAGAGACCACCTGTCTATAACGACATCCATATCTACATTAGAGACCACATGTCTACAACGACATTCATATCTACATTAGAGACCACCTGTCTATAACGACATTCATATCTACATTAGAGACCACCTGTCTATAATGACATTCATACCTACCTTAGAGACCACCTGTCTATAACGACATTCATATCTACCTTAGAGACCACCTGTCTATAACGATATTCATACCTACCTTAGAGACCACCTGTCTATAACGACATTCATACCTACCTTAGAGACCACCTGTCTATAACGATATTCATATCTACCTTAGAGACCACCTGTCTATAACGACATTCATATCTACCTTAGAGACCACCTGTCTATAACGAAATTCATATCTACCTTAGAGATCACCTTTCTATAACGACATTCAAATCTATATTTTCTCATGCTAGTTTTGAAAAATATTGAAATTTCAGAATGGAAATTTATAAGCATATTTATGATTTTATGAAACTCTGTTCGTGCAGAGCTTTTGAAGAAATAAAAACTCTTTCCGCAATGGTTAGTGACAGGCCACACAGATGTCATCCTAATCACAGATCTGTGGACTGTCTTTGAGATATCATTCGACCTATCAATAAAGAAACAGATTAAAACATACTTAACCATAATAATTGATATTTATGGAGGTCTGACATGAATATGAATATTCATGAGTGTATGTAGGGTCAACACGTGACATGGAAACATAGTGTGAAATGGTGCTGTTTTGTTTGGTCTTTATATTATCTTAATAAAACTGGAATAAGTTACGCTCATTTAATGCCATCTTAACGAGGTTTCACGTAGATTTTTGTTATATATATGGAGAGGAATTGTCCTGTTGTTGTTTATGTAGTTGTGACCAGAGGCGCCAATTTTGTAACACTGAAATTACTAAATTTGACTTACAATTGTTACACTAATTGTTTAGGTGAGTTTTTTTTTCTCTTTCTCTCTTTTCTCCTTTATCAAGACAGATACCTAAGATTTTAGCCTCCAACAAATCTTTGTAAAAAAAAAAACCACATAATCCATGAACTTGAAAAGCAAAACAATAGACAGTTAACAGAGGGCAAATATATATATTTATTTTCATTGCAAAAAGAGTTTCGGGTAAGAAAAAAAGACATCTTGGAACAAAATACTTACAAATTGATCCTTTATGCCTTTTGTATGTAAAATTCAGATGGCAATCATAGCAGGAATGCTCTTCATCGTATGTTTAAGCCACGGTCGTGGTGTGGTGACTAGTATGAACTTCCCTGGAAAATAAACATACTAGATAAACTAGATTATATGTCCCTGGATAAAGCGGTTAATTTTTTGTGTGTGTCGCTAAAGGTTTGGTGTCAATACATTTCCCCGCACTGGCAAACACGGAAATACGAACGACGTCAGTCAGAGTAACGTCCCTTTATAGGAAAATCGTCTGTTTACAAGGGTGTTGTGACTTTGATATGGTCATTGTGTTACTTGGTTTTCGGGAGGACATATGTGACTTGAGTTTTATAAGGTAAGTCTCTGGTAGTCAATGAATGTCTCTCAGCTCAATATGTTGCACTAGTAATTTCGCTATCTGCCACAGCTGATTTGGACCTACCTGTGTGATCGGACATGTCTGCTTGCGTTACTATAGGTCAGCCTGCTGAATACCAATAAATAATGTCTGTACACTTGTAGTTTATTGAATGGACAATTAAAAATTCATCAAGCTGAACGGCGATGTTTACTTCAAAGTGATTGAGTTGGAGAATATTGTGAGATAATAAGCCATAATGTAGACAATAGATATACGAGGTCATCATTTGTTTAGATGTAATGGGAGATAACTCTTTGTTAATTATCTGAGCACGAAGAAAGATAACTCTTATAGACTTAGAAATCTTCCCCTCTTTCATGAAAAGAAGTGGCATTACTCCTGTTTTTTTTATTTTTTGTTAGAAAAAACCCATTGAATAGTCAAAATCTTGTTATACTTCAGACAAATATTCTACCTTCGCACTGGAAACTGTTCATGTATTTTTGGATACTGTGCTATGACGTGACATCTCAGATTTTTGTGTCGGTAATACACCGTGGTCGTTTATGTCGGCTAAGGGAACTTATTTTTTAGAGGATTGAGTCGTTTGAGAATTTAAGTAACGTCACAGAACTCTCTTTACTTTTTTGAAATGTCGAGTAATCCAAGGGATCTGTCGGAACTTATTCTTCTTCTTCTTCTTCTTAGTTTTCTTTTTATTATCATTTCTTTTTTTCTTCTTTTTCTACTCTTCTTCTTCATCATCATTTTCTTCTTCTTTCTTCGTCTTCTTCTTCATCATCAATCATCATCATCATCATCATCATCATCATCATCATCATCATCATCATCATCTTCTTCTTCTTCATTTTCATCATCATCATCTTCATCATCATCATCATCATCAATCATAATCTCAATCATCATCATCATCATCATCATCATCATCATCATCATCATCATCATCATCATCATCATCATCATCATCATCATCATCATCATCATCATCATCAATCATCATCATCATCATCATCATCATCATCATCATCATCATCATCATCATCTTCTTCTTCTTCTTCTTCTTCTTCTTCTTCTTCTTCGTTCTTTTTCTTAATAAATTCAGTTCAGTTCTTCAATTCAATTCCATCAAAAGTACGATGATCATCCATGATTTCCACCCGAATTACGATAATGGTCCATGAATTCCATCATAAGTCATTTCAGTGGTTTCGTAATCCACTTGTTTAATAGAGGGACCCGCACTCTTTACACAGTCATTTTAATTATCATGTGTATGTGAGATCGTTAGCTTGACTTGCTATAAAAACAGGTCGATAACTAGCATTCTGCCTGTATGGGCTTACATGAAACCTCTTTAAAGAGCTTTGAAACGTCTTCCTCGGGGGTCTGATTATCCAAACACAAATTATGTGTTATTGTGTTCTAATAGTACCCCCCTCCTCTCAACGCCCTGAACACTTCTATATAGGCTAATAAGTTGAGAAGCTAAAGTTTAATTAGTTTCAATCGTTTATTGTTTTCTCTGCGTACATCTATAAAATGACACGTTGTTGATTTTCTTTTGATGTTTGCAGGTTTTCCTTATTTATTTATTTATTCGTTTATTTATTTTTTGTAATTCCAGATAATGTGTATATGATACCAGAAAACCCTCTGAAGAAACCATGAAAGCCCACCAGAGAACTCGGAAATTTGGGTACCATTCCACACATTTACACACAAGGCCTTCGAAATAAATTTCATTTGCCAAAAAGTATTTAAAAAAATGGCTGGCTTAGTTGCCTATATCTGTTCCTTCATCTTTAAGTCGTCCACTAAGAGGAGCTCAAAACACAATTTACCACTTCCGGTAAACTGCCATATTGTTTTGGATGATGATGTCATAGGAGATAAAAGCATCTTCATTATCGGGGATGTTCACGGTTGTTATGACGAACTTTTAGATTTATTAAGCCTAGCTCAAAGTGTAGAGCTAGACAGGTCCATTCTGCCTGTTTTTGTTGGTGATTTGATCAACAAAGGGCCTAAGAGTGTAGAAGTTCTCCACAAAATTAAAAACATGGACGGCTATGCAGTGAGAGGCAATCATGATGAAGCAGTTTTAAGACAACTTTTAAATCGCAGGAACGATCCAGATTATGTGTATCCGCCAAAGTACAACTGGTGCAAGGGTTTAACTGATTCAGATGTAGATTTTTTGACCGAACTTCCGTATACGATTGCTATCCCAGCATGCAATGCGTTGTTAGTGCACGCGGGTCTCGTACCTGGAATTCCGGTCGAAAAGCAGAATTTGACAGATATGATTGTAATGAGAAACGTGGAGAGGAATGAGGATGGGAGTTTCAGAGCGAGTGAATCTCGATTTGTAGGAAAACAATGGGCCTCACAATGGTCGGGTCCAGAACATGTATATTTTGGCCATGACGCCGTACGAGGATTTCAAGATTTCCCTTTCGCTACCGGTCTGGACACAGGGTGTCTCTATGGGAAAGAGCTCACGGGGGTATTTATCAACGGTTGTCTCAAACGACTTTCAGTTAAAGCGCGGAGAGCTTATCGCCCGCCATAAACGGTAACTCACCGAATTGTGATATAGTCGGAGTCTTATTCGAATCTGCAGAAATCTTGTCTCGTTTCTTGTGATGTTACATTTGTCTTCAATGCTTACAAGCAAAGTTGACAGCATAAAACTGGTGAAAATATTGCTATGTGTGAATGCGTTCATTATACATGTGTGAAATAAAAAAGGACCAAATTTGTTTTTTTTATTGTTGATTTCATAATTAATACATATTGACATATGGTACAGCATTTAGAGCAAAGCGGACATGACGTCAGACATTGAGATACATATAACACAGAAAACTACGAAGTTGCGACAATCCTACATTCTCAAACATTTCCATCAAAATCGAGAATACCCAAGAATTCTTGCTATGCGTGTATCAGAACAGATCCTTTTTTAACTGTCAAATGTAACACGAAAGTGTTAAAACTGGGGTACAGAATTTAATTTAAGTAAGGTGATTGGAAATACGCTAAATAATTTTGTGTTAAAAATATGTCAATGCTGAGCATACGACAGCGTAACTTAAAGTGAAGATACGAGGTACATGGTTTGATTCATCAGGACCTTTTGTGTTTCTTTTTAATCTGAGAAATCTGACTGCCCTGTTCTGCTATGATTGTAGTGTCGGGATATATATTTACTTCCATTGGATGGTATGTGGCGGACCTCCTCCCGAATGTTTTTCAGTGAGGTAGCACAAAATGACCCTTGCTGTTGTCGGAACAATATACTCATTAAATAAACCATGAAATTATATAAATTATGTTTAAGGAATGATTATGATAATTTTATGGAATTATAACTGAACTATTTCACTCTATGACCACAGAAAACAGACACTCAATGTAGCATGTTGGAATTGAGATTTTATTTCTTATTATAATTGAAATGTCGTATTACAGGTTTCCCTTAAAATAGTTATCTTACATATCTAAATGATAATTTGATTGGAGGAAATAGTGTTTTTCAATTAGGTGAAGGTGTCATATTTTTCAATGAGATGAAGGTGTCATTTATGATAAAAAAATTAGTAAACTAATAATTTGCAAAATAACCATATTATTTAAACCAATAATATTTGTAAATAAAAGATAATGAATCAAGTAATATACAAATCCACAGCATGCTTAAAATCATGGTGCTAAATAATTACACGTGGCATATTACAAGTGTTTTTTATAAAGCGAATGAAAAAAAAATCAGGTAAATGTGGTTTGACCACGTCTTGGAAAGTGTCTCTCTAGCCAGGAAACAATGAAGATATATAATCTAGAAACAATGTTTTTTGTAATATCTGCTTAATCGTTAATTTCCGTGGGTTTTTTCCCCGTTAATTTCGAGGGCACTCTTAATCCACAAATTTGTATGTTTAAGAACTGTTAAATAAGTATGAAAATTTTCAGAACTACATGCATGTTCATCGACGAAATCAGTTGTCCAGAAAATAGTTTCTTTTTGAAATACCACGAAAATTGAGTTCAACAAAAATATATGATTTTGCGATATACGTGTTACACGTATTACTGTTGTCCTAGCCATTTTTAAAAATCTAACAACACATTTGTTCCATTTGTCGAATCGACTACCAGCTGATTCCTTATTGGAACATGCTAACATGGGTTCAAGTTTCTGTTGAACTGCAGTGAGAATTTCAGTTAGGATAGAAACAATGGCAACTACTGATATGCCCACTTAAAATTTATCAAATAATTGTGTTTAATTCGAAGAATAATAGTTTTTCTGAACAACTGCCAACCCCCCACCCCCAGCCCCCTACCTCCAGCCCCCCTACCCCGCCGCCAAATATAAATGATACTAAATCAATAAATATCAGTAGATACACATATTACATATTGAGATAACATCTTTATATATTCACATCCTCAAAGTGATGTTGAATTATACATATATATCTTAATACAGCAATAAGATAGTGCTCGTCGGACTAGGATACCTCGCTAATCCGGAGTTATCCGATTTGTTATCTTGTTCTTTGTTCTTTACCAGAATTATAACAAATACTTTTCTATAACTAAATTGTGACGTCATCATTCAGTTAATCAAGAATATGCCACAAAGAAAAAAATCAGAATTTTTGAAATTTAAGAAAAAAAACCCCAGAATTTTCACGAATTTCGAGGTGTACAAGCAGAAAAAAATACAAAGTATATATATATAGAGTCAATCTTAATTATCACAGATTTATTTTATCACAGCATTTCGGGTTTTGCGTAACATTTTTCTTAACAGAACAATTATGAACACCCTATTGGCATATAAACGGAAGTGTAAATTTCAACAGAAATATTTACATCAAATGTTTGTAAGTCATGGATTGAAAATTAAAAAAAAAATTAATTTACACTAATTAAGGAGTAAAATAAATAAATATTGATAAAATTCATAAATACTATGTAACATTTAATTTCAAATCTTAGTACAACATATAACATGAACGCAGACAAAAATCTGCCTGATTTGATATCTGAATAATCATATTTAACGAACCCTTTTCTGCGGAACTTTTTAATCTGATCGAAGGGAAGTAACTCTGCAAGCCAGGACTATCAAGTACCTGAAGGTTCTAGAATTTTTCTTACTGAGGCATTTTTATTTCATTCATTATTTTTTCTAAAGTCACAAAGAGTAAGAGTTGTTTAATACTAACAGTCAAACATATTCTGCACATGTTCAAAAGTGTCCTTTCGGAAAAGTTTAAGAAGTTACATACTCATTGTTTAAAGCTCACGTGCTAGATCCAATTTGAACTAGATTGCTTGCACCACGTGCAAATTATCATCAAGTCCAACGACTTTGATCTGGTCAAATTTAGAATGCGAGATAGCATCTCGACCCTCTGACGTCACTTTGGTCTTCTTCAGCACAAGCCTCTTTAGTGTGCGGTTCTGTACGATGGCTCCGGCCAGTTTCTGACACATGTCTGTGGTAAGTTGACATTCACTGAGATCCAGTATCTGTAGTGACCTGGTCAGTTTGAGACACTCGGAGAGTGCATCTACAGCCGGTCGGTCCAGTTTAGCTCCACATAATTTAAGATGTTTGATAGAACTGCACAGTTTTAGACCTTGCAGTATGGGAACGAACTCAGACCCAGTCAAGTGAGCGCCTGTTAGATCAAGTCTCTCTAAAACTGAAGTCTTTTCAAGTTTTGCGCTGATTTCGCCGGCACACATCATGTTCATCGCGCAGCCGCGGAAATCAAGCTCCTTGACCGAGTGCGGAAGATGTTGTAGGAAGAAATAGGTCACTGCTGCCACCTTTGAGTGGATAAACGAGACACGTGTTGCTTTTGACATGTTTTCACATGCTGTTTGTAGTGCAGCCCACGTAGAAGCGGGAACGCTCGTTAAAGATTTCTTGCATACATCTTCCAAAGTGACGTGCTCGATGCGTTCAGTTTCCGTCATGAAACTACACATGAACTTTGACATGAGGTCAAGCGATGACCACTGAACTTTAAGACTGCTAAGATTAGTGTTCCTGGCTGCTGCGATGGCTAGGTCCTTGAATTGACTTTGTTGATAAGTATACATTGGTTGTAGATGGAATTCCAAATGCGTCAAACGATTATCCTCGAACCGAAGGACGTTCTGTAGAGCGTATAGACATTTAGAGGGTATAAGTCCCTCCCTCCGAACCAAGATCTTTGGCGGCAGTGATTGCGCAACGATTTTGCACACGTCTTCACGTGACTGACATTCAATAAGAGATTGAAGACTCGTATTAAAATCCATTATTTGTCCGCTAGGTGGCCTCAGTTTTCTGTCAGTCGATGATGTATTCGTGTCCTGTCCGGTTGGCACGCGCGTTTGCCGGATATTACGTATGGACAGTTCTGTAAAAATGGCACGAAGAACAGATGTGTCATAGTCAAATCTGTACAGGCCTGATAGGAGGCTCACTACTTGTGTAAACTTTGGCTTCTTGGTCATTTCATAGTCTTTCATAGTTTTGACAATGTCGTCCATAACGAAATCCGCAAGGTGTTTTGCCGCAAGGAAGTCTTGCATGAGTCCACACAGAAATTTAACTTTAGATCCAAGCATAAATTTTGAAAAAGCACAAAGTTTCAACGCAATTGGGTTATCCATTTCAAGTGCAAGTTCGTCCTCTCCAAAAGCCTTTCGGTTGTTTAGCAGTGTGTTGTAAGCGAAACTTCCCAACCGTTCCACACCGGAAATGACGTCATCGGGAAACTCGTACCCGATGACATCAATCTTTTGCTTTTTGCAAAGGTGCATTGCCATCGAGATGCCGTAGGACTCAAAGAGAGCAGTCACTGTTTCGATTTCAAGGAGTTTTGCATTTTTCGTTGTCTGGTAGTATCCAAAGACGAGCAACACAACAACCGGGAGATTGAGATAAGGTCTCAGTGACCATGATTCATTCTCTAATATATCTAAGAAGTGTTGATGGTGTTCGATATTGACATGAAATCGCTCGAGGAAATTTGTGACGCACTTGATGACGTTGGTTTGACTGAAACCCATACAGAACATTTTGCTGTCAGGTGTAAAATGACTTGAGGAAATGAGTTCAGGGTTAGCGGCAACTACAACCGTTGCGAGTCGAAGACTTTCACCTGACAATATGGATTGCAGTTCTGGTATGTCACTTCCGTCGTCATATCCATCCACAAGCAACATTATGTCGTACGAATGCTCCTCGAGCATTCTCTGGAATCCTGGCAAATCGAGGCTGAATCCCGACGGAAAGAACTTTTCGTACAAACTTTCGTAGAAGCCACCGTCCATTGTCTGCAGGTCCACGTGAAGAAATATTGGATAACGGTGCCGGAAGAAAGACTTTTGTGAACCCCAGAGATAAGACACCATCTGACATAGAACGGACTTGCCACTTCCACTAGCGCCTTCCAGCATAACTCTAGAGCCACGCCCGTTGGTAGTCGGCGGAGGACAGAAATCATGAAGATGTAATCTTTTTCTACAAATATAAATATCAAAAGTTGAAATTATCTAGATGGACGTTTAGTATATACGTATGTTTAATGGAAGATTGGAATTATCAACCGAAGACAATAAAACGATTATGGAATATATCAACCTTCACTTGAATTGGGTTTCAGAGAAATCGTTCAATATGCTTTCTGGCTGCATAATCAGTAGGTTTGCGGCAAATGTGCGATACTTTTCGCTTCAGAAGTATATACAGCAAACAAGCGAACAGGACACTTTATAGATAATGAAAAGAGTGAGTGAGATAGCGCTGCCCATGGGGTAATATTGCAAGCGCACCTGCTCATTTGCATTTTGTCTTTTCTTTTATTAATTTTGGTTTCCCTCAGTCGCCCCCTTCATTTAAGAATATAGACTCTAGAGTCCTAGAAGGACGAAACAATAAGTTCTACTGAAAGCTTTTATTCACTTTTGTGTCTTTTGTACAATCCTTAAAAACATGATAAGATATGGAAGTAACTTTGAGAAATGCCATTTTGGTCAAAGTTCAACTGCTCAGCTAATCAAAAGATATTAACCCAACCCGTCAACATATTGCAAAATGGTCCTAGAATTGAATATCACAATGTATGGTGGTAAAAATACAAGGATATGGTAGATGGTTGCATTTAGTCATATCTTAAACACTTTGCCTGATGTGAACTTTGTAGAACCTACCCGTCTGAGTTGAGGATATCCAAGGGTGTGTAGATGTCTCGGATGTTGACGGTAATTGATTCGTTCCAAGCAAAAGGCTGACACCTGTTGTAGTTATGCTTGTAGTGAGTACACATAACTTCACTGACCACACCCACCACATCTGTAAGCCAATGAATATCATTTTTGTAAATATATATACAGACGTCGAGAATTCAGAAAGAATACTTATATAAATCTGTTTTCTCCAGCAATATATTTGCACACAAAACAGCTTTCTTGGTGAGCCGCAGACAAACCTTACATTGTATGCAAACGGCCCACCGCAATAACCGTTCTGTAGGCAATATGTCTGCAATAATTTGTATCATTATAAAATATGATGATATTGATATGTTGTTAATGCGAGACTTAACGTTATTTTTTTAAAAAACGAATCGTAGAAATCTCAGTCCCATGAAGCGCTCTTGACATGTCCATTTCGGAAAAAAAATATACAGAATTCAATGATATGCTGCGTCAATCTTTCGACTTACCAACATTGTCTCGCACGCCATTTTTGTGAGTTTCTTTCCTAATTTGTACAACTTGATCGTATATTTTCTTGTATTTGAACTTCATGGCCTCAATCAGAAATTTCAGAGCGGTCGAATTTTTAGAGTTCAATATCTTATCCAGAAGGTTGGCCATTCGTTCGGAATTTTTGGAGATGAGAAGAATTTCCTGACGGTCACTAAATTTGATGACCTGGTTCTGTTGAAGTCTGTCCAGAAGATCATCCGCGAGAACGTTGTCCACAAGCATTTTGTGAACTTTTCTCCAAACGGCTTTGTCTTCTGGAGATAAGCCTGTAGGACGAATGGACAGACATGTTGTTATTACAAGAGTATAGTGTTGTTTCAACCAATAAAAGTGTTCTTCCGTACGAACATTGTGAGCAGACAGACATAGCAGGCGTTACCTATAGTATGGACGAACGGACAGAGGTTGTGGTGACATGTACAATGTACATATATAATCAGGAGCTAGATGGACAAAGCAGCTAAATAAGATAATTACTGGCAAAAATGAACTTTTGAAGAAATTGTACAATGATCGGGCAGATTTTTCAACTATTCAGATTTTGGGAACGGTTACTATCATTTAAAGTCTAGCATATTCAAATGTGAAAATACGTTAAAATTTCAGCATTTTTACCGTTTTGCTCGTTGCTATTTTTCGTCTGACGATTCCTCCGCGCCTTCCGGAGTGAGTCTGCTGACTTTGGTGTAGAAATAAGCTTCCGCCCGTCTCCCCATCCCGCCATGAACGTATTAATGTAGTGCGTCTGCATTTCCGGTGTCATGACCTCGTGTTCTATTCTGTGCAGTTTAACCCGAATGGGAGGACCGCCCAACCGGAACAACACTTCTCGCGCTTGCCGCCAAATTCTTGTATACTCGTCTATCGCCATGGCTTCTGCAAAATTTGAGAGAAAAAAATAAAAAACAATAAAAGTTTTCGATATGTCACGCCATGAGTTTGGGGCTTTGCTGTACCTGTGACCAGAACTCGGCATGTGAAGAAGGAAGATGTTACACAATTAAAGGGGCACATATCTACGCTATGAATGTGGATGGCGCACATGTGTTTTTGGTGTTTAAAGTTCAAATGAAACAATGTCCCTAACAGTTAACTCCCAAGTTGCTACGCCATCACTTTCTGATCGGTACAAATTAAAAAGAGTAACACAAAAGTTTTAGACTTCACCGGCTAACTTCGGTTGTTTGGTTAGAAACATGTTCGAACACAAACTTTGAAAATATGGTCTAGATATACAAAAATGCTTACAGAGATGATTTCTATTATAGATTGAACGTGAAAACTGTCGACTATAAATCAATGTTATCCTTTTTTTTCAAAGGTTGGCCTTTGACATACCTGTAGATGCCACCTGTTGGTGAAGAAGTTGCATGCGGACAATATCCGCTGCGAGGCTGCTGTCGGTCGGCATGGGTTGGGCGTGCCAGCCATTAGGGTAGGGTGGGCACAAATGACACACTGACTGCAGCAAGGTAAGGAGCAAGTGGCTGTCATATTTCTGTGATAGCACGTGCTTTTTCTTCAGTGGGTACAGTAGTTTCCATTGATTTTCTGTCAATATGTTTTGTTCCTCGTGCAGACGGCATAGAACCGCTCGCACGTGCGCCTGCGCGAGATGGTCACGTAGGTTGAGTGGGGGATGCACACTGTCAAACACGGTGCGGAGAGCGGAAGTGCCGGCATCCAGGAGCATCCAGGCTGTTCGGGCTAAATACTCCCGCTCCTTGCTGGCGTTGTTGAATTTGTTGGCCCATGCCGGATCCATACTGGCCCTGAAATTATAAAACATGATGGTCATAGAATAATCATTCATTTACAAAATTACATCAGAACATTTTCATTCCAGGTTACTTTATTCTGATCTTAGCTACCATGTTGTACTTCCGGTTTATGCCCGATGTCCTCTCGGAATTTGTGAAGTAATTATAAAGCCATAAGATACATAATCCAGCCAAAACATTCAGATCTCTTCAAACTATCCGCCCAAGGAAATCAGATAAAACTATCCGGTCTAAAGAAACTTACTCAAACTGTACGGTCTAAAGAACCTTACTCAAACTGTACGGTCTAAAGAAACTTACTCAAACTGTACGGTCTAAAGAAACTTACTCAAACTGTACCGTCTAAAGAAACTTACTCAAACTGTACCGTCTAAAGAAACTTACTCAAACTGTACGGTCTAAAGAAACTTACTCAAACTGTACGGTCTAAAGAAACTTACTCAAACTGTACGGTCTAAAGAAACTTACTCAAACTGTACGGTCTAAAGAAACTTACTCAAACTGTACGGTCTAAAGAAACTTACTCAAACTGTACGGTCTAAAGAAACTTACTCAAACTGTACGGTCTAAAGAACCTTACTCAAACTATCCGGTCTAAAGAACCTTACTCAAACTGTACGGTCTAAAGAAACTTACTCAAACTGTACGGTCTAAAGAACCTTACTCAAACTGTACGGTCTAAAGAAACTTACTCAAACTGTACGGTCTAAAGAACCTTACTCAAACTGTACGGTCTAAAGAAACTTACTCAAACTGTACCGGTCTAAAGAACCTTACTCAAACTGTACGGTCTAAAGAACCTTACTCAAACTGTACGGTCTAAAGAACCTTACTCAAACTATCCGGTCTAAAGAACCTTACTCAAACTGTACGGTCTAAAGAACCTTACTCAAACTGTACGGTCTAAAGAACCTTACTCAAACTGTACGGTCTAAAGAACCTTACTCAAACTGTACGGTCTAAAGAAACTTACTCAAACTGTACGGTCTAAAGAAACTTACTCAAACTGTACGGTCTAAAGAAACTTACTCAAACTGTACGGTCTAAAGAACCTTACTCAAACTGTACGGTCTAAAGAACCTTACTCAAACTGTACGGTCTAAAGAAACTTACTCAAACTGTACGGTCTAAAGAACCTTACTCAAACTATCCGGTCTAAAGAAACTTACTCAAACTGTACGGTCTAAAGAACCTTACTCAAACTATCCGGTCTAAAGAAACTTACTCAAACTGTACGGTCTAAAGAAACTTACTCAAACTGTACGGTCTAAAGAAACTTACTCAAACTGTACGGTCTAAAGATCACTAATCAAACTGTACGGTCTAAAGAAACTTACTCAAACTGTACGGTCTAAAGATCACTAATCAAACTGTACGGTCTAAAGAACCTTACTCAAACTGTACGGTCTAAAGAAACTTACTCAAACTGTACGGTCTAAAGAAACTTACTCAAACTGTACGGTCTAAAGAAACTTACTCAAACTGTACGGTCTAAAGATCACTAATCAAACTGTACGGTGTAAAGAAACTTACTCAAACTGTACGGTCTAAAGAAACTTACTCAAACTGTACCGTCTAAAGAAACTTACTCAAACTGTACGGTCTAAAGAAACTTACTCAAACTGTACGGTCTAAAGAAACTTACTCAAACTGTACGGTCTAAAGAAACTTACTCAAAGCGTACGGTCTAAAGATCACTAATCAAACTGTACGGTGTAAAGAAACTTACTCAAACTGTACGGTGTAAAGAAACTTACTCAAACTGTACGGTCTAAAGAAACTTACTCAAACTGTACGGTCTAAAGAACCTTACTCAAACTGTACGGTCTAAAGAAACTTACTCAAACTGTACGGTCTAAAGAAACTTACTCAAACTGTACGGTCTAAAGAAACTTACTCAAACTGGCTGGTCTAAAGAAACCTAATAAAAAATATTCCGGAATAACGATACGTCGATTTATGTACAAACTAATATTTCCCGTCGAACTTGGCGACAATGCAAATACAGTGTATATTTTTCTGGTCAAGCGAAGTCAAACAAACGTCTGCTGACAAAATTGTTAAACTATACTTTGGAAATGGGCGTACAATGTAGCTTGTAATAAGTTTTTTTTTCTCTAAAGTTTGCCAAGCGGAAGCGGGATATCTCAGGAACAAAGCCATATTTGCTTTTCTTGTTTTCACAAAAGAATATCTGGGTGAAGTTGATTTTCCAAACAATGTATAAGGAACTTGCTATTATTTCACACACTAAATTATCCCGCATATTATCAGGAGAGGCGTGTCTCGATTTGTCACGGCGTCTAATTACCTTGCTGAAAGAGTCAAGCACCAAAATATATTCCAAAGGGCTATTTGTTTTGTCTACATGAGCATGTATACATAATTGAGTCACTAAAAAGGTTTTAAATGCACATGTATTAAATTATCGTATTTCTTGATAGAATATCGAAACCCCTTGGTTCATCCTTAATCAACTTTTAAAGCTCCATGAAGTTTTCTTAACTTGGAACGGTTACATGAAGTGGACTTAAGTCCCTGGCAAATTAAATTCAGAATAAAAATATTAGTATTTCAAAGAAACAAAACATTGCTGTTCCTGTAGAAATCTATAAATAAATATTTAAAATATAAAGTTAGATTCTAGCGAAATGTTCTTTTTGAAGTCATAAAAGCCTTTTCAAGCTAAAGTATCGTCAATAAAAACTGATATTGAAACTTGTATCTTGTAATTAGCATGTCGTGTATGTTTCTCCTGGCAGTAGAAGCTTTTCCTGAAATGTACATCACGAATATGATATCGACATCTTGAAATTAGCCTTTTTTGTGACGTCATTGAGAAGGGAAGAGGACATTAGTGAAATCAACCTATTTAGAACATTTTACGATGATGACATACAAATCTGTTCTTTGACGCCCTATTTCACTAAGATAACACACGACCATATCAGAGCGATGTCACCATGTAAACTCTCTACATATTGATATATTGGAAAGGACAGTTCGTGGTTGATATGCACATTTTGATAAGCAACACAACCTGCTATGTCAGAAAAATGATCACTTGTGTTACTTGAAAGCTTATGGAGCACTATTGATCATAGCGAATGTAAAAATGGCTATTAGCACATACATACAGTGTCCTCCTATTGTAAGATTTAATTAAAAGACGATGTTGTCGGAATTATTACAAAGCCGAAAACGGGAGTTTCTACGAATCGATGACGTTGCCACTTTCACTTGTCATGTGAGAAACGTTGCACTCAACACCCTACATAAGCCTTTCCACTAGGCCCTAACTGACAATATCAGCGTCCGGATTTATCAGTTATATATTTTAATCATTAATATTATGTCATTTCAGTTTTCTTTGTAATATTCATTAAGTCTGTATCAGAAGGATTGACCATATATCACGTGAGACGGCGGACTTAACCGTATATTGAAACCTAGATTTCTATTTTATTTTATTTTGAAAATGGTTGAATATCGACACAGCGTGACCATGGTCGGGCAGATCGAATATGGGAAGAGTGAAACGGTTAAAATGATGAGAGGAGTGGTAAGGGTGGGAAATTGGGTGGGGGTGGGGGGGATGAGGATGTCTGATTTTAATATCATTCGAAAATTATGCTTGTTATCGACAGAGTGATGCACACCTGCCAAGTAGATATAGGAACAGACAGACAGACGAACAGACTGACAGCCTGACATACATGTAGTACAAATGAGGATAATTATGTATCGCTATGTACCATCAAGTACTGGGTAGGGCGACTGTTTTCCGCAAATAGTTTTTTGTTTGTTTTGAGAAGAAAAGTGAGAAAACGTCTAATTACGAGAACTTTTCTAGGACAATGATACATTTACATCTTTATTTTATAATTAGTATTTGTATACACCTCAGACAATACCAAGCATTCTCTGTCTTCTACTGAAAGGAATATTTTACGATCATTTGCTGCAGTTTCAAACACTATAATATTTTGCGGCTGGTTGAAATATACTTTTCATTATCTAGACAACTTTGAAATACCCGATTTGATCGATTTGAACGAACTCTGAAAACGATGAATCGATTCGATCCTGTAAGCTGTTCTAGATAAATCAATGAACAGGTTCGATAATGTGGTTAATACATTAACGATGAACACAATGTAAAAGTGATGCACTATACAACGGGTGGATTAACATTAGGTACATGTCCGAGCGATCCAGATTATTCGAAGTTTTGATAAAATGAAACTTTAACTGATCCTGTGATAGGACGAGTCAATCCAAGATTTAATTAATTGTTCAAGTTATTTTACCAATAAGCAATAACACACACACACACATATATATTACAGTTTAACGTCAAAAGACGATACATTATTCAGCGAAATAATTACATGAATTTTACTCGACAGATCAATTCATAAAAGATTTATAAGAAAAGTTTTCATTTCAGACTTGGTAAGAGATGCAACTATTTAACAAATTATGAAAAAATTAATCTTAGTACGGATATCTTAACTCATCTTTTAGAATCAATGGTTATTTACTGACACACGTAAAAACAACAGAGAGGAATCTTATATAAGGTACATGTACTATGCTATTTGACAATGATCACAGACCAAGAGATTTTCTGATCAAGATCTGTGATTGCATGTGTTTAAATATTCAATGTAGGGTAATACTAATAGGAAGAATAGTTAGATCCATATTAAGCTCACACAATCCTAATAAAGGTCACTTATAATCGCTCGACCTATGTTGACATGTTGTGAGTATGGCTGTAATCCTCTTAGTAGGTACATTTGTATTGAATCTGTCAGTGTCAACCGCCTCTTACGATTAAAGTAATTAGGTCAAATTTTTATCCTAATCCAGTCTAGATTTTAAAATTGTACCAGTGTTTTCTCACCAGTTTCATGTGATAATATCTTACCTATCCCTTCCCTCACAAACTATATACAAGCCCTTTTCTAAAACTCCTCCCTTCTAGC